GCAAAATTATTATTAATTTAATTGGAAAAATTAAACACATTAGGGGTAATGAACAACAACAACTGACAACATAAACATAACATTAAAACCAACGAAATGATTACAAAAATTGTTGAAAATGACCCCCTTCACTTAGTATGCATGCTTCCACCCTCCTTCTCATGGAATTGCGCACTCGTTGAAATATCCTTGGAGTGTTTTTTATTCTATAACAAGCTGCAACTATTCATTCTCTTAATTCCTCTACAGTGTTAATGGGACTTGTGTACACTAGTGTCTTAAGATAGCCCCACAAAAAGAAATCCAAACTGTTGAGGTCTGGGGACCTTGGTGGCCATTCTTGGGGCCCACCGCGGCCAATCCAACGATTTGGATAAACAGTCTGTAAATAATTACGAACCGCTACACTGAAATGCGTTGGTGCACCATCATGCATGTACCACATATTGTTTCTTATTACTAACGGAGTATCATCAAGCAGCACACGCAACTGTTGTTGAAGAAAGTCTGTCCGTCAAGTCCTACCGGCAAGAAGAATGGGCCGATACAGTGGTGGCCAATAATTCCTGCCCATACGTTAACCGAAAATTGGTGTTGGAAATGGGTTTCGGTTACGGCATAGGGATTTTATTCTGCCCACAAATGATTATTGAGGAAATTCTGAATGGCATTTCGAGAAAAATTAGGTTCGTCCGTGAACAGAATCATTTATTCAAATTGCAGATTTTGTGTAATTTTTTGAAGATACTAGTGACAAAAGGTCACACGCCTTGGAAAGTCAATGGGAAGTAATGCATGTACTCTTAAAGTATGGTAAGGATATAACAAAAAATCCAATAAAATTCTCCAAACAATTTGATGGCAAATATTTAAGTGTCTAGCGATCTTCCTCGTACTCATTTCAGGATGTTCTTCGACTTCGTGCAGCACTGCTTCCTCAATTTCAGGTGTTCTCACACTTAGAGGTCTACCTTCATATGTTCCTTTTCGGACAGAACCAGTTTCAACAAGACGACGATGAATATTAGAAAAGGTTCGTCTACCTGGCAAAGCACGATCGGGATATCTCTGGTGGTAAATCCGTCTTGGTTGCTCACCATTACCGTCGGCAGGGCCATTATACGTAATGCATTTCCGCCATTTCTGCATTTGAATAATTCACCATTATTAACAAGATTGTAAAAACTAAATAATAAAAAGATGTCACCGTGAACAGATTTAAAGAACAGAGACTTGTCAGATGTCAAAAGCCAGTGACATATTCCAGAGCAACTAGATATTCATTGCTAAATTGCATTCTTCAATTATTACATTAATTTTCTCGGACAATAGAACGGTTTTTATTTTTTTACTCAAAAATGGCGCATCGAAGGAAAACAATTCAAGAGAGATCATTTGTTCTAAATTAAACGGGGAATTCAAAAATAATTTTTATCTGGCAAAAACCATTGGCGTATTTTTTTTAAAAAAACATATGAAAAAATACATATATGCCTAGGATTTGGGCACCTGATTCACGTATGCAATAATGTCCAATAATTATTGCATAATTATGAGGTAAATTCTCGTTATTTTCATAGATGAGTCGATAAGATATCCATCATCATTGTGTTTTTAATTTGTGGGTAAATTCCTTGTGTGGATACCTTCTACTTTTTCTAACGCAGACTTTTGCACTTTCCATAAATATTAAGTAGAGGATGGTATTAGTAAGAGCACCAGCTATTTATAAAGCTCTTCTAAATTCGGTTGTTGCCGCATTTGAAAGGTTTTCTCCAGGAATTTAAAAATCGATTTTATGTACACATTCACCATTTTTGCAATTCGGCAAACTGCATCTATTTTTCAGAAACTAATCATACGATGGCTTTGATCCCATGGAAATTTTTGTTCGAGAAGGCGAGAAATGAGTCGTACTGAATTTTTAGACAAATCGACTGGGACAAATTTTTCTCATGGTAGACAGCATCATCAATATACAGGGTGTTTCAGTTTATTGTTGCATAACTTTAAGATTCGATAGAACTTTTAAAATAAGTGCATAAAGTCTATATAAACATGGATCGAAAAATGCGTGGCTTCCGAACTACAGGGTGTTTAAATTTACTTTCTAAAATAGTTTTTTTCAAATATTTCGAACAATATTTGATGTATAACAGTGAAAATTGGTATACCAGGGTTTTTTGGTACGGCAAAATGAACCATGGGCATAGTTTTACTGTAGCCGCTAGAGGGCGCTATCTACTGTACCTGTAGTGTATTAAAATGACCGAAAAATTTTTCTTAGTGCAATTTTTTGCTTTTTGAATAAAAAAGCTGATTCTTCGCAAAAAACCTTTGGCGTATTTTTTTTTCTTAAAAAATATCAAAATCAATACCCGTACGCAGGCCACTGTTAAAGCTAAACATTTTATTTTTGCATTGAAAAATATGCAACCTTATTAACTTTCACTACGTACTAAATATCAGTGAAATATATGAAGCGGTTCCGAAATATTAATTAATTTCCATTTTTTTCCTAAAACTTCAACACCCACGTTTCTCTTCTACACGGTAGCATAATTAGAATTTCGATCTGACGTTTCAGTTCCCAGTTTTTCGAAATTATACCATTTTCGATATCTTCATTATTACCCTTAAATAATACAGGGTGTGAACGTTGTGATAGTCATTATTTAAATGGGTGATAGACGGGGTTAAAAGAAGCAAAAAGTTTCATATAACATGGGGGTCAAAACGGCATTTTTTAGAGAAAAGCGACTTTAAAGTAGAATAAATCTGACAGCGCCGCAAAACTACGCAAACAGATAACTAACCACTGTTACCGTTTGCGATCGATTGCCGGTTCAATAAGAGTGATGATGACCGACGCGCTGTTGTCAAGTGTGTTTTATATATCCAATTTAATGAAACTTACTTTCTTAGTGACTACCAATTTTGGCTTAACTTAGAAAAACTTAATGCCATTTATTTGTTAATTACCCAGTTTAAAAACCTTTTAGATTAGATTATAAAAATTAGTAAGATTGTGGTGATTGTGGTCGATATAAAACACTTAAAGTTGTAAACTATAAAGCTATTTAGACAAAAATCTATTGACTTTTGGACTATTGGTCATATGAACTTTTTGACTTGTTTTGACCCCCCTATTAACTATTTCAATAATGACTACCATAACGTTTACACCCTGTATAAATGAGTTGCATTATGTTGTTCCTCATTCGATAAGCTTAAACCAACTATACGAAGTTGGGCACTTGAAGTTTTATACCAATGCGTGACACGTTATCATCTTGGTTATTCTTTGAAATAAATGACTGTATGATAATTGCAAAGCTTACTCAGGAACAATTTTTTTATGAAAATTTATGACATACTATAATACGTATATGAAATGAGAATTAAAAGCTACTCGCCTATGGAAAAATCAAAGTTGAGACGGGGGATAAGAAACGAAAAATCACATAATTGTGCTGCCACCTTGCAGAGATCAAAGAGCGGCAATGACAATGTGCATTTTACTTAGAAATACTATCTCATATAAATTCAGAAAAAATTATTTTGGGAAAATTCGTTTCCTTTTCAATGTATCTCTGGAGATACCGGAAGCGTCAAAACTATTCAAATGCATTGTTTAAAATATGTAAATACACAACTTTGCCACCATTCAACTGACCCGTATCTCTTACCAGGTATCTGGTGAAAATTTGATTAATTTGTTTTTCAAATCATTTTAGAAAAATTGAGGTACATATTCTTCTACATATTCCATGCAACTATTCTTGGCTATAAGTCATATACTATCTCAAGTTGCTTCCAGGACTGCAAATGATTAAATTATTATTTAAAAAGCCACTCGCGCAATGTTGCTTGAATGTTTCAAAAAAGCAACCCTAGTAGTTTTCTATATCCATATGACTTGTCATATCGTCGTGGACGACTCTATATAAATGATACGAAAATAGAAACAAACATATCAAGCATGTAGATTTGATTTGTGGAACTTCAACCAAAAAAAATTTGGTGTGGAGTTGGCCTCGCTGGTGGTGCTGCAGGTCTCGCCTGCTGGTGATGCTGGTATCACTGCTGGTGGGGATGCTGTTTTCCCTGGTAGTACCGCAGTCGTACCAACAGCACCAACAGGCGAGACCGGCTGCACCACCAGTGGGACCAACACCTCACATCAAAGGATACTGCTTTTTGCCACCGTCCATAAAATTTTCCCCGGCTAAAGTGTCCCTAATACTACTATTATTATTTCAGTTTCATTCCTATTTCTTTGGAAAATACATCAAACACTATTTATTAGTTTCACAGAGCTCAAACTATGATCAGTTATCACTACAATGTGATTGTACCTAATAATAATATTTGATTCTGTGGCTGATTATTTTGAACCGTGGCATGCCTTACTTCAAATCTGTTTGGTCTATATTGTTTGCTAACTCACACGATTTATGACATATATTGCCGAACTAACACAAGTAAATAACACAGGCCTACGAAAAAGAAGTGGTGTGTGCTGGGGTCTCACTATATTTTTCCGCTATTTTTTCCGCTAAACATCAATCTGAAGACACGGTTGTGACGCGCTATGCTCAACCAAACTCAAAAAATGCACAAACAAATCAGGTTGATCTGGTCATGAAAAAATGACCACAACTTCCACAGCATCTATTAATCATCTAAATACCGCGCAACATTTTAAAAATAAATAAAACACCAGTTATTCACGTCGGAAAAATCAACCATACATGAAATCATAGCTATAAATGAGATACTTTCAGCACAGAAAATAAGTTACTATACAATGGCACAAATATCCCAATCCACGGCGCGTGACTTTCCCTTGTATCTGATCTATTTTCGAATTCTTTTTTTAAATATTTTTGACGTTACCAAAAGTCACTAAAAAGTTGGAAAACGTCGCAAAATAATGTTGCTTTTTATAATAAATATCCTCCATCGAAAGTCGTAAGAATATTTTCAAAAATACTTACATGAATGAAGCTGCCACTGGTAGCGCACAACTGAATTGTCGAAGAGAAGCGATAACATTATAACAAGAAGACCGTTGGTAGGACGGCTGTTCCCGGATTTATCCTTAAGGAAGCGCCTACACTATAAGGAGTGGGGGTGGTTGTGGTCTCATTGGCCGTACAACTGATTTATCGATGGTTGAATCGCGACGAGCGAAACAAAACTCTGGATGTCGTCGTCTAATTACTGTTTGCTAATGCCTGTCACTAAATAGGGACAGCGTTGGTGAATACGTGGGAGAAAAACGCCTGTACGTATGATCGTCTGTCATACTCATATACAGGCCCTGTCTATTGCAATAATCCTCCTCAAGACAGTAATCTGTTCAACTGGTTTAACTCAGTCCTGACACGTAGATAGCCTTGTAATAATAGGTAAGGTACGGTATAGGTTTTTTTATATGAAAAAGTATTTATGGCTCTCCAAAATAATTGTTTTCATATTGACTAAATAGAAACAAACGTCTTCCAGCCCGACTTCGGATGGAAACCTGCGCTTTTTTACTATGAACTCGCAAACAAAAAAGACAAAATCGCATGACACCATATCAAGGCTATAAAATGGTTGGTGATCCAACACTTCAAATTCCAGATTCGTTGATGGCTGGACAGTTCCACAGGAGAACTTTTAACCAACATTTAGATGTAATTGTCACTTTACTCAAATGCCCAAAATTGTATAATGTAAAGCCTATCGAATTTGCATCCGAAACCTGTAATGCACATTTAAGTGCGGAGAGTAAAATCGGATTACTCCTTTCAGCTGCAAAAGCTTTTTAAGGCAGGGTAGCCGATTAGATTTGTTCTATCGGCGTTTCTTGCTTAAAGGTTCGTACAAACAGTATTCACGTCTCTCTGTCATTGTAAAGACAAATCCTGTTTAAATAGGAATATATTATTTCTCCTTTGCTTATAATAAACATTGGAAAGAAAATGCGAAATCGAAAGAAAATATTTTCAGAACTAGTTCAGTATAACAAAGTAGATGAGGATAACAAGCGCAGCGTGACTATTATTATCTAATGCCGAATGTAGTTCTCATACCAAATACTCTGAGAATTTTCATACTGCAGAAAGTATTCCTTTTAAAAGCCTTTTTTAGGAAGGTGTTGAAAGGTGTCATGTTGATCTTGCAAGGTCAATTTAAGGGCAAGCTCATTTTTATACGTTGACACAGAAATGGATTTGGCACTAGTTCTTCGAAAATTCGAACAAATCCACACAAGGAATCGGTTCGCTTAACAAGGGCGCGGAAAAGTGATTGTTTAGTTCTCTTTACAAGATCATTTAGTGGCCATATTGATTATGAAGACGAAAGAGAAAGAAAAAACGCATTTATATGAACATAGCTTTATGGTATTGTAATTTGTTGACTATTAATTTGAGTTTTGTTTTGGTTTAATTTGGGTCAACTTTTTCGAAGAGTCCCGAGGAGAACATACGAAAAAAATACATATATGCCTAGGATTTGGGCACCTGATTCACGTATGCTATAATGTCCAATAATTATTGCATAATTATGAGGTAAATTCTCGTTATTTTCATAGACGAGTCGATAAGATATCCATCATCATTGTGTTTTTAATTCGTGCGTAAATTCCTTGTGTGGATACCTTCTACTTCTTCTAACGCAGACTTTTGCACTTTCCATAAATATTAAGTAGAGGATGGTATCTATTAGTAAGAGCACCAGCTATTTACAAAGCTGTTCTAAATTCGGTTGTTGCCGCATTTGAAAGGTTTTCTCCAGGAATTTAAAAATCGATTTTATGTACACATTCACCATTTTTGCAATTCGGCAAACCATCTATTTTTCAGAAACTAATCATAAGATGGCTTTGATCCCATGGAAATTTTTGTTCGGCAAGGCGAGAAATGAGTTGTACTGAATTTTTAGACAAATCGACTGGGACAAATTTTTCTCATGGTAGACAGCATCATCAATATACAGGGTGTTTCAGTTTATTGTTGCATAACTTTAAGATTCGATAGAACTTTTAAAATTAATGCATAAAGTCTATATAAACATGGGTCGAAAAATGCGTGGCTTCCAAACTACAGGGTGTTTAAATTTACTTATTAAAATAGTTTTTTTTAAATATTTCGAACAATATTTGATTTATAACAGTGAAAATTGGTATACAAGGGTTTTTTGGTACGGCAAAACGAACCATGGGCATAGTTTTACTGTAGCCGCTAGAGGGCGCTCTCTACTGTACCTGTAGCGTATTAAAATGACCGAACATTTTTTCTTAGTGCAACTTTTTGCTTTTTAATAAAAAAACTGATTCTTCGCACTTTTCTGCATAAAAAACTCTCCTGTGGGTTTTCGTTATAGTTAGCCATTTTTGAGATATTTCGATTTTTAAGGTTCGATGCATTTTTAATTATTTATGGGAAAATATTTTTTTTACATTTTCGATTTGGGCATTACAAGTAATTAAGATGATCGTTTAGATTGTGTTTTTAAACACAGCAATAATTCCTAACTCCAAATAAACACAAAAAAAACAATATTAATTTGTTTAATTTTCCAATATTATTTTTAACAAATTAAATGAATATTGGATGCTATTGGATAGAACATACAAAATCTAAAGTAGTTGCTCGAAATGTAAACCCAATTGTTAATAAGGCCTTATTTCATCACATGCATTCATGATTCTGTCTATTAGCATATCTCTTGTGGTTACGGGAGTCTGGTACACTTTCTCTTTTAGAAATCCCCACACAAAGAAATCTAATGGATTTAAGTCAGGGGCCAGGCGACTGGTCCTCCACGGCCGATCCATCTTTCTGGATAATTTTCGTCCAGCCAGTTTCTAACTATTCTCGAATAATGAGCTGGACAACCATCAAGCTGGAACCAGGCCAATCTTCTTAAATCTAACATAACATCATCCCACATATTTGAATGTTCAGCCTTTAAAAAATCCAAGAAGGTCGCAGCATTTAACCTTGCAGGCAAAAGGTAGATGCCAATCCACACGTTCACACTAAATTCATGCTGAAAATTTCTTTCCCGAACTGCATGCGGATTTTCATGCGACCAAATATGTTGATTATGAAAATTTACCACTCCACGTCTAGTGAAGCATGACTCATCGGTCCATAAAACGTTACTTAAAAACTCCCTATTATTATCAGTTCTATCAAGAATCGACTGACAAAATGTGATTCTTCGTTCTCCGTCCCCTGGCTGTAGTCCTTGCACAGGTTGCAAATGGTAAGGACGTCTATGGTTATTTCTAAGAACACGGCTTGCTGAAATTCCTAAGGCACCAGAAACTCTCCTAACACTTGTGGTCGGATCTCTATCAAACTCACGCGGAATCATACGGGTAAATCTGCGCTGACGAACATTTATGTTTTGATCCCTTTGGAGATTTCCAAAACCATTTTCAATTATTTGGCGATGCACTCTTACAAATACTGAGCGAGTTGGATGTCGTCTGTTTGGAAATCTTCATGCGTATTCTCTGGCTGCTTCTGCTGCGTTTCCATTTACAAAGCCATACACAAAATGAACATCCGCTAACTCTTGATTGGAGAATAAAAATGGCATTATCATAAGTATATAATTAAAAATTCATCGAACCTTAAAAATCGAAATATCTCAAAAACGGCTAACTCTAACGAAAATTCACAAGAGAGCTTTTTTATGTTGAAAACTGCGAAGAATCAGCTTTTTTATTCAAAAAGCAAAAAATTCCACTAAGAAAGATTTTCGGTCATTTTAATACACTACAGGTACAGTAGAGAGCGCCCTCTAGCGGCTACAGTAAAACTATGCTCATGGTTCGTTTTGGCGTACCAAAAAACCCTTGTATACCAATTTTCACTGTTATACATCAAATATTTTTCGAAATATTTGAAAAAAACTATTTTAGAAAGTAAATTTAAACACCCTGTAGTTCGGAAGCCACGCATTTTTCGATCCATGTTTATATAGACTTTATGCATTAATTTTAAAAGTTCTATCGAATCTTAAAGTTATGCAACAATAAACTGAAACACCCTGTAGACAAGTTTGGTGCACTCGGTCGTTCCAGCGGAAATTAGAGGACACAAAATTAGCAAACTGTTTGCTCCGGTGGCTCAACTGGTGATTTAAAGGATACGCTATGTATGTGTCTACACTCTACACATTGCAGAAAATATTTATTGCCAAGATATGTTGCGATAATTTCATGATCGCTGGCCTGTAGTTGGCATAGTTATAGCCAAATATTGTAACAAAAATATTGCCCATGCATGATTTGTATGCTCTGTGAGTCATCGAATATTAGGTTTCTCACGTTTCAAACTGATTTTTCAATAGTTGCTACGTGTTTCGCATGCCAATAAGTAGACCGGCAGACAATGATACTAATGGTCTTGGCCGTATAGTGGTGAAATAATGAACAATGGTAAACATGTATAAAAGTGGGTGTGGAGCGGAGATGAAGGATATGATTCCTAGTTGATCAGGAAAATTACAGCGTTTGAATAACAGTTTGGTACTAATTGGCTATTAGTTTTCCGCAACTTGTTAACTGCGTAATATAGTCAAGATACAAACATGTCTATGACTTATCTTGGACACAAAATATTATTTAATACAAGAAGAGAAATTGTAAGTGTTCCATGATATATGTAGTAAGATCCCAGGGCTGCCAGACTACTTATTTTTTGAAAGACAAAACGTGTGGCATTGAGTAGCATTTATATGTGCTCTGAACGCCTGCGTACCGGCTAAGACTGATAGAGCGGTAATGCTTGTTATCCAAAATTTTGACACCTTAACAGCTTGTTAGTAGCCACCCTAAAGCGATGAGAAAATAGGAAACAAGGATGGTTGGACTTTTGGACAAAGGCAAACATGCGAGATAAAACTTTTAATAATATATTATATTAATAAATTTTATTAAATTCATTGGCCAATATTTGTAATTTTTTATGCAACATTTGAGGTATTTTAAAAACAGTTAGACAGATGATGATATACATGAAATGCACTGAATTTGGCCCAGAATCCAAAAATTTAATTACATACAAGACGGTCTATTCAAAACAAGCAATTTGGCATTGTCACTATTTTAGCCGAATTTTCATAACTGTCTTACGTCAACTTTTTGAGAAACCATGGGAGGACACTGCGTGAAGCGTGAAAAGTTTCTGAAATCTGGTAGGCTTCATTGATTTTTTCTATAAAAAAACTCCATCAATCGATTTTGTCAATTATACACAAACATTATCGGAAACGCAAAAAACAAAGATTGGGAACGTTCTTTCTCCGTTTATAATTCCACTGTTACTAAACCGATTTTCAAAACACCCTCTT